TCATCTCATTTCATCCACAACATACCCCCATTTATCAGTGAGGGAACTGGGGCCTAACTAGGTTTAGTGCCTCACCTCAGGTCTCACTATTAATTAATAGAGACAGCTTTTCCACCCAAGTCTCCACAAAATTTTTAGCCACCACATAAACGTGGATTCCAAGGGACAAATCTAATTCAAGCTGCTTAAGAAAAACAAAGAGGGGTACAGGAGGAAGGTGCTCTTCCTGAACCGTTACTCAGTACCGTCTATCTGTGCTGCTCTGCACATCAGCTTTTCTCCCCTTGGTGAGGACATGGCATTTCCTGGCTCACATACTCCAGAGAGGCAGGAAGTTTCCTCTCTGACTTCAAAATAGAAAACCCTGGTGGGAGATGAGTTACTGTGATTGGCTCATTCTGGGCTCTGTGCCCACCTCTGTAGCCAGAGGGATGGAGATTTTTACCGAAGGAATGAGGGGAGTGATGCTGGGCCGACAAAAACATCACCTTCCAGTTTCACAGATTAGAGACGGTGCAGGTGGAAGACCAAGTTCCTGGATTAGGTACTCGAGGTGAAGGCAAGCCGCCATACTTGAAAGCAATTGGAAAAATCTGTTGATACAGAGTACAGTGAACTTTGTAAATTTTTCATTACTGAAAGAATTTTAAAAAAAGTAAAGCATTCGTACAGTACCTGCCATGTAACAAATGCGCCGTAAATGATGGCTTTTATGATTCACAGTTGGTCCCAATTGGAATCTTGCTTCTCCTCTCTTGCCAGCCTCATTCTTGGCCTCATGCTACATCAGCCACATTGCATTTTCCAAATGTGCTGTGCACTCTTATGCCTCCATACCCTTATACATGCTGTTCTTATTATCTACAGAGTAGTTTATGGAGACATTTCTATGAGTTTTAAAAAATTATAAATAGAGATGGGGTCCCGCCATTTTGTCCAGACTGGTCTCAAACTCTTGTGCTTAAACGATCCTCCTGCCTCAGCCTCCAAAAGTGCCAAGATTACAGGCATGAGCCCCACTGCTCCTGGCCTCTAAGATTTCGACTATATTACCTGAGTTCTTCAAGACTGAATAAGGAAAAAAGGGATGTAATATTTAGGTTTTCAAACAATCACAAGATTCTACACCATTGGTTACTAAAGAAAATGGGAAAATGTTTTGTTAGGAATCCAGATAATTGGAATAAATGGGTGATGATCTATATGGGAAAGTATTAACAATGTGGTCATCTAAGAATGAATACTGAGACAGGTCTTGAAATATTGGTGTGTCTGTTAAAAATTATCTGTAAATTACCTGCTGAAGCACATGGTGAAATCTCCAGACATGCTCTTTATAGCAGTGAAATGCCAAGGTGCTGGAGATAATCTTGGGAAATTTTTACTACGAATAAAGATGAAAAATGACAGAAGATCATTTCTGTAAGGGTCACTGTAGGAAAAACAACTGAATATGATGATGTAGTGAATGGAACTACTTAATAATAACAGCATGTATAAGGGTATGGAAGCATAAGAGTGCACAGCACATTTGGGAAAATGCAATGTGGCTGATGTAGTATGAGGCCAAGAATGAGGCTGGCGAGAGAGGAAAAGCAGGTTGGGACCAATTGTCAATCATAAAAGCCACCATTTATGGTGCATTTATTATGTGGCAGGTACTGTACTATGCTTTATAAACTTTTTTTGAATTCTTTTAGTAATGAAAAATTTACGAGGTTCACTGTATTCTGTATCAACAGGTTTGATGTAGTGAATGGAATTACAGGAACAAGTCTGGGAGTCGTCATCAATCATTCCTTACCCAATACACTGGTGTATTTAAACGAGCCAGTGGATTGCTGAGCATCATAAGGAAGAGGATTCAAAGCAAAACAGTAAACAGGAGGGTTCCTTTGAATTTCTTACTTGAACTAGGCAGTTGAAAAGTGATTGGCGTCAATAAGATCCTGAAGCCTTTGCCAAATATTAAAGAAGTAAAACATAGGCCAGGAAAGTTGGCTCATGCCTGTAATCCCAGCACTTTGGAAGGCTGAGGTGAGAGGATCATTTGAGCCTAGGAGTTTGAGACCAGCCTGGGCAACATAGTGAGACCCCATCTCGGCAAACTTTTTTGGTTTTTTTCTTAATTAGCCAGGCATGGTGGCATGTGCCTGAGTCCCAGGTACTCAGGAGGCAGAGACGGGGGATCATTTGGGCCCAGGAAATCAAGGCTGCAGTGAGCCATGATCATGCCACTGCACTTCAGCCTAGGCAATAGAGCAAAACCCTGTCTCAAAAAAAAAAAAAAAGATAAAATGTATGATTTCAAATAGAAAAAGGATTGCAGAGCTATGAGCAAACTAAGGCAAGTACAAAGGTTGAAATATATTTTAAAATTATTTGGGGGAAAATACATACAAGCACAGAAAAAAGGATGAAAGGAAATAATACCCCCAATTTTAAACTGTATATTATTTCTAGGTAGTGGGATTATCGGTTTCATTTCCTTTATTAATTATATCTTCAAAAATTGTTTTGCAATTGATACGAATTACAAATAATTGTTTGACACCAAATAATTTTACAATTATACTCCCACCCACTGAATGGGTTCCCTTGGTTACATAGATTCATCATCACTCCATGTAGTCAGATTTTGTAGTTTTGCCATTGTAATGGACTGTCAAAACACTACATAGACTATGGGACAATTTTTTGTAATGCCAAATGCGAACGGAACTAAGCCGTGTTGTTCAACGACACATTTTCATGTGGTAATGAAACTTAGAAAATGAGGGAGGGTGAATGATTTACATAAATTTAGGGTAATTTTCTTATATCCCTGAATGGGGAAGGGTGGGGGACCAGGTGAGGATCGGATGGAAAGGCCTGCCTGAGGAGATTCAGTGAATGTTGGTAAAGCTCTACTTCATAAATTAGGTGGTATGTTCATCATGTTTCATAATTTACATATTATTCTGCAATTTTTTTCTTTTTTTTTTTTTTTTTTTTTGACACGGAGTCTCACTCTGTCACCCAGGCTGGCAATGGCGCGGTCTCGCTCACTGCAAGCTCCGCCTCCTGGGTTCAAGCGATTCTCCTGCCTCAGCTTCCCGAGTAGCTGGGATTACAGGCGCCCCCTCCACCACGTCCCCACGTCCGGCTAATTTTTGTATTTTTAGTAGAGACGAGGCCAGGCTGGTCTCGAACTCCTGGCCTCAAGTGATCCGTCCGCCTCGGCCTCCCAAAATGCTGGGATTACAGGTGTGAGCCACTGCGCCCAGCCGCAATTTTCGATCATAAACATTTACAACTTAAAAACTGGAAGGCACCAGGCCTCAACTGTACTCGCAGCCCGCCCGGGCGGCCAAAGCACCCAGGGCCGGCGATTTGGGCGCGCAATCGCACCATGGGGGCGGAGCCTCGCCACTCAGTTCACGCCTGCGCTCTGCGTCCAGCCAATCAGCGACGTGTCCGGATGAGGCGAGACGCGCTTTTTTCCTGTGCGAATCCCGGCTTGCCTCAGAAGCGCCGCGGAGAAGGTTCCATTGGAGGTGAAGCGCGCGTGTGGAGGAGTTGTGGAGGACGCCTGTCGACGACCGGTAACTGGGCCTCAGCCATTGCGGTTTGTTTCAGGTGTGAGCAGGGGAGGCGTCTATCTTAGGTGTCCAGGCCAGAGGCTGCCTTTGACCAGTGAGGTAAATCTTACCTCCTGGTGTTGCCTGGGGCCTCTGACGAGAAAACGGAGGCCGCGAACCTCACTGGAGAGAGGGACGGGCGGGCGGGCTGGGCTGGGCCGGGCCCTATCGCTACACCCTGGGACCACTGACGCAGAGATGCGGCGGGGCCGGGCAGGGCCCTACCTCGCTCGGCGCGTGTCTCCCTCCTGCCCGCTCCACACCGAGGGCGCCTTTCGTGGTTCCTCAGTATTATCTGTTGTCGAAATCTTTTGCCGACGTTCACTTTCCGAGACCTAAATTGCGGGACGTTTTTATTGTGTATTTGTCTTGATTATTATGAGCTTATTTCTGGCATCCTCATGACGTGTCCCGCCAGCAACTATAATTTCCCCGTGTGACTGAGCGGCCTGCTAGAGTTGCCCAGATGTAGCCAGCATCTGGCAGAGGCGCTCGCAAAATTCGGATCTCCCAGGCCTCAGGGGCCACCTGTCCAGCACAGCGCGCTTGGAGTCGGGGTGGACGCTGTCATTTCCTCATCGATTGACTGACTGAGACGAAGTCTCGCTCTGTCACCCAGGCTGGAGTGCAGTGGGGCCATCTCGGCTCACTGCAACCTCCGCCTCCCGGGTTGAAGCGATTCTCCTGCCTCAGCCTCCCGAGTAGCTGGGATTACGGGCACCTGCCACTAAGCCCGGCTAACTTTGTATTTTTAGTAGAGATGGGGTTTCACCATGTTGGCCAGGCTGGTCTCGAACTCCTGACCTCAAGTGATCCGCCCGCCTCGGCCTCCCAAAGTGATGGGATTACAGGCATGAGCCACTGCGGGCCTTTTTGTTGTTGTTCTTTTTTGAGACGAAGTTTCACTCTTGTCACCCAGGCTGGAGTGCAGTGGTGTGATCTAGGCTCACTGTAACCTCTGTCTCCCGGGTTCAAGCGATTCTCCCGCCTCAGCCTCCTGAGCAGCTGGGGACTATAGGCATGCGCCACCACGCCCGGTTAATTTTGTATTTTTTTTTTTTCAGTAGAGACGGGGTTTCACCATGTTGGCCAGGCTGGTCTTGAACTCCTGACCTCAGGTGATCTGCCTGCCTCAGCCTTCCAAAGTGCTGGGATTTCAGGCGTGAACTACCGTGCTTGGCCTATTTAGTTTTTCACAAATATCATTATCTTCTTAACTTTTGGCCCCCCAAATAAATGAGGAAACTGTTAAAATTGTATTCAACAATCCTTGTTCGATATCTGCTTTGATATTTAAACGTTTACCAGTGTATTAAAATGATGCCTTTGGATTCAGAAGGTTCAAGAAATTTGTTTTTTAAAGTCAGGAAGCATCTAAATATGGTGTCCTCCGGAAAAAAGTATTCCAGGAAATCTGGGAAGCCGTCCATGGAAGATCAGTTTACGAGAGCCTATGACTTTGAGACTGAAGAAAAGAAAGATCTGAGTGGTTCAGAGGAAGATGTTATTGAAGGTGCAGTACATCTCATGTTGGGCAGTGACGTCCTTCAGTTAATTTGTTTCAAACCCATTAAAGACTATCGTACAACTTAGTTTGTAAAGGATTTTCAGGTATAGTCTTTCATCCCCCGGTATTTGTGGTTTCAGAACCTGCTGACACGGATGGCCAGCTGTACTTTGTGTTTCTCATTTGATCCTCATATTGCAGTATCGGAGTTACAGAAGCTTATTCGGCAACTCTTGCTTTTACAGTTATTTCCAAAATATCTGATATATAGTATGTGGCTTACTGTGACATTAACCCAGGCAGACTTGAAAAATTATTCCTATAAAATGGTCCTGAATCCTGATTTAATTTCATCTAACCTGCAGATTATACTGCGTTTGTATGTCTGCTTTGAAACTGTATGTTGGCAAAAAGCCTAAAAATCCCCAAATGAAGATGTTTCATTAAAATTTACCAGAATAGCCTACTCAGTTTCAAAAGTTGTTATTTTTTTTTGTTTTTTTTTTTTAAATTGTCAACACAGGGAAGACTGCAGTCATTGAGAAACGTAGGAAGAAAAGGTCTTCTGCAGGAGTAGTTGAAGATATGGGGTAACGTTCAAAATAATTTTTGTTTCTTAGATAAAGCACTTCAAGAAAAGTTGCTAACAAATAATATATGTACAATACTTGACATCTGGTATTTCTTCCAAAACAAACATGGTATTTTGTGGATCTTCAAAAGTGTTTAAAATGTAATTTCTTTCCAGGGGTGAAGTACAGAATATGCTGGAAGGAGTTGGAGGTATGTTTTAGGAGATACTTGTATTTAAAGAAAATTGTTTTAAGCCATATAATTTGTATAATAGCAAATGTTAATAATGGACTATAAGACTGTTATTTAATGCTATGTTCTCACATAGAAGATTCTGCGTGTCTTTGTGATTGAACATCATAGATTTTCATAGTTAATCTTTTCCATGATGTTAAGAGTGAGGTGGTTTTATTTTATACATATGTGTATTTAATGGATATGGAATTTTAGAAGAAAAATAGAAAAAGTCTTTACCCTTCTTTGTATTCACAGACTAAGTGATACACACACACACATACATACATATATTTGTATATAAGTTTTTCATTTTTTCAGTTTAGTTATTTTCTGACTTCCTGTGTTCTTTTCCTTAGGGAGGACAGTGTAAATTAAGCCTCTAAAATAACTCTTTTTACAGTAATAAACTATGTAGTTGATACTAAAGACAGTTTTGCTAGTGAGAGTTTTATAATTAGGTTCAAAAATTCTCAAATTTTAAATAATATGTGAAGTATCAGTAATATGAGCTTTGTTAGGGATTAGTTATCTTAAAAAAAAGTTAACATTTAGCTCCTCTAAATGGATTATTCACACATTCAAATCTTTTTTGAAAGCTCTGCCCTGTCCAGTGGTGAAAAAGTACTTGTTTTATAAATTTATTATAGATAATATTGAAAGTATAAAATATTTATGTAATAGTACAGCTCCAGCATGATTACTGAAAGATGCCTATTTATGATAGATCCATAAGATAAAGGCTTATGTTTAGCAAAGCATTCTTTGAAGTAGTAAACATTTTATGAAATGCAGTTCTTATGGGTAAAAATGCCCAATAAAGAGCTCCACAAAAGCATTTAAAACTAATCTTACTCACCTATTTCTCATTGAAAAATAAAGTGATCTTGAATTCATTTATCTAGAAATTTACTTAAACTAAGATTTTTTCTGTCCTTGGTCTTTGTCTCTTTTAGTAAAAAATGTACTTAAAAGTATCACTGATGGCCAGGCACAGGGGCTCACACCTATAATTCCAGCACTTTGGAAGGCCAAGGCAGGAGGATTGCTTGAGGCCAGGAATTCGAGACCAGCTTGGTCAACATAGTGAGACCCCCATGTCTTTTAATAAATAAATATATATATATATA